GACATCTAGGATACGAACCCGTACTTTAATACCTGTCAATTACTGAAGTAGAGTGGATTGCGGACTGTCGTGTGGTGGAGAATAAAAAATTATTTGTAAATAGCGATGTATATGTGTTCTTGTTACTGTTTTTATAGTTAAAAATGGAGGATGCTACTTTGCCAGATCCTGAAGTATTTATAAATGAACATAGGGAAAATGTTCAGTTAGGCCAAGGGGACGATACAGATGTCTGTGGGAGGAACACTGATAACGAATATAAGAAAATGTTCAGTTAGGCCAAGGGGACGAAACAGATGTCTGTGGGAGGAACACTGATAACGAATATTTAATGGCAAATGAAAATCCTTTGGGAAGAAATGACAGTGACGATGACGACGAAGTAGAACATAATTTCCGTCGGCGATCTGATTATCAGTTAGCTGACGACGCACATAGTGATCACAATCGCATTTCTACACTTATGATAAAACCAGAACCCTACAATGGAAAAGAAAGTTGGGAGGAGTACTTTTCTCACTTTCAAGACTGCGCTGAACTTAACCACTGAGACGACAGGACAAAACTTCTTTTCTTGGCCGCTAGCTTACGTGGACAAGCCAGGACTTTTTACATGAGCCTAACAGCAGAGGATAAATGTACATTCATAATTCTTGTTCAGCGTATGGACCAGAGATTTGGTAGCTCAAAACACAAAAATAGGTGGCTTTCAAAACTGGAAATGCGTAAGCGGATGCCTGGAGAAAGTATTGCAGAGGTTGGAGACGATATAAGGCAATTATCACAAAAAGGTTATAGTAACTTGGACCTTGATGCTCAGGAATCACTGGCCCTGAACCACCTTTACAAAATTATTCCCGTTGAAATGAAATGTCGTTGTATTGATAAGGAGTGCAGCACTGTTGCAGAAGCTGTAGACGTTATTGAGAGATACGAGTCAATAATGGGGGGTGGGGATAAAAAGAAAATAAATGTTAGACATGTGGATCAAGAGCAAGTAGTCAAACAGCTAACTGGAGAGCAAAAATCAAATAATTTGGAACATACAATCAAGTTACTAATCGATAGCTTAGAGAAACTGGAAAGTGCACATAGAATGGAACCTCGGAAGGGCAATAACTCTTGGACTTGCTTCATCTGCAATTCACCAGATCATCTCATGAAGGACTGCCCAGACCGATGGACAAGAGGACAACAAATGACCACGACCTCTAACCTGAATAGGAAACATGGGAGTGGAAACATGAGAGATAACAGATGTCATTAAGTCAGGAGTCGGCACAAGAGGAATGTCTTTCTGTTGGAAATGAACATACTAGGACTGGCTACACAGGTGATATAACTCTCTTACGGGACAATGGATTTTATACAAAAGGAAACATATTTGACAATAGATTTTCTAGTAGATAGTGGATCTACTAGTACTGCATTGATTATTTCATATGGAATTTTTACTAAATTCTCAAAGGAAAGGACATTGTAACAGGAAAACTAGATGACTTGACTTATTTAGTAAAGAGATCTTTGAAACAACCTGCTAAAGCTAATCATCTTGATAGATTGATGCCATATCGAGGCATCAACTTGCAACTCTGGTTCAGGAAGTTCACACCACAAAACTGGATGATGTTGGACAGTAGTATGATGATACCAGATTTTTTTGTTTTATTATATTGACACATGTCTAAGGTGGATGTTGTCCTAGGTGGTGCACCACACTAGGTGAATGTGTAGATAGTAACTGGCCATTGCTATTATTGCACATTAGGACCTCAGTTGTCTAGGGCTTGGCCGGACTGTAGGTGGACCTCAGTTGTCTAGGGCTGGGCCGGACTGTAGGTGGACATCAGTTGTCGAGGGTTAGACGGGACTGATGGGAAAACAGTTGTCTAGGGCTGGGCCGGACTGATACTTCTGTTGGTTTCAATCTACTATTGGAATAAAATTATAAATGGATAATTGATGTGACTTCCTGATTGACTTCCTGATCCTGGGAGGAATCTACAAAAACAATGAAGAATTAGACCTGACTGATTGACTGACTGATTCCCATAGGAAGCAACCTTTATGAACTACATACATTTTATTCTAACAAGAATTTCCAATCTTGTACTAGCTTATGCATAGGGAGCTGTATACTTTATACATGGGATGGATGGTGGATTTTCTTGGTGGAGACGAAGAGATGGAGAAAGAAGTAGCAGAGAGACGAGATGGAGAGATGGAGACAGAAGTAGCAGAGAGACAAGATGAAGAGATGGAGAGAGAAGTAGCTGAAATGGTATCAGATGAGCAGGCAGATGTGTGAGAATTACCGAAAGAAGCGGTCGAGTGCAAGAAGGATAAATATTTCATTGATGATGGAAGCAAAAAGCTAGCAGAACCAGAAGATTTTGATAAAGACTGTAAATTCAGGAGAATTTGACTTTTTAAGTGGTGGGGAAGTGTTATATGCATGGGGGTTGGACTTTAGAATATTTTGCATAATACTCACAGGCTGATGGTGGAGTGTTTTTAAGTGATGTAAAGTAGCATCCAGTTGTAAATTTATTAGAAATGTTTTACTGTTCATGTTATTTCATTATCTTATTGTTTATCTGAATTATTGATGCAATACACATTGCAGTTTGACATTGTCATGTAAACAAATGCTGTTTTTGTATTAATAGACGATCTAGCGAGATATTGTTGAACAGACAGTAAGGGACAGCGATACTAAGATGTTGTATGTCAGTTTTTCATCATTATCTACCATATTACGACTGTAATTTACTTACTTATTTCAGCATTATCACATGTGTTGTAAATTGGGCGCCTGCCATCTTTCTTACGAAGAAAATAGTCATGTGACATAAACATTGTCGTTTTACAATTGATACGATCAAAATAACACTGTCCGTGTTCTCAAATATTTATAACTGATACTTAAATGTTATTTTACTGCAGTATTGTCATTTAATTATGTTTTATTTGACGAAATGTTTTGGAACTTGAATGTGTAGCGTAAGACTTATGTGTATGTATTATTGTTCGGTATTACTACGCCGTGGATTGTGTGTGTCCGTTTTATTACAAATTGTTTGTTGAACTTATTTTATTATGTATATCAAATAGAATTTATAGCTCCCACTTTACATGTAGAAAGGACATTTTGAGCGATGTTATTTTCTTTGTTTTACACAAAATGTACGTAAAGTAGTTCTGAGAGGCTCCAGAAAGGACAATTATTCATTGGTTGTTGTGATCACGTGACCATTATAGAAGGTTATATATAAGAGCAGCGAACGCCAGTTTCAGCACAAGGATAACAACGATCATATCATATTACGTCATCAATATTACTGACTGTAAATAACTTAGGTATGAGAAAATAATGTAAACTAATACAAATTAAGTAGCGTATAATTTCTCCACCGCACGGACACCGCAATCCACTTTATTTTATTAGGCCAGAGATGTTAAACTAGGACTTAGACTCATACATAGATGTACTGACTGTTTTGTTATTTTTCATTGAAGTCTTCATTAAATGAAATATTTGAAACGAGAAATGGAACTTGGTTATGATTTACAAGGATGTGAGGTAAATTATTTAGGGTGTTTAAATACATGCGCTGGGCTGAGGATGCCCCCCCCCCTTTTATATTGGACGGATGTCATGAGTAGTCCTGATAAAATATATTTAACTGAATTTACACGGGATGGAAACACTGTAAGCTGTTGGCATTTGACAGGGTGCTGAGGAAGCTTACAACATATATATTCAAGATTTTTTATTTTGCAGTTATTACATAACAAAACCCCATTCGGCTATCTTAAATCTAGTTTTGTAAATGCAACATTGCATGCCTTTTTCACCTGCAAATTGGGTTCATATATCTCTGAGTTGATTCGATACCGATGAACATGGTTTATGTATGAAAATATTCTAAAACGAGGTAAGTTATTGTCGAACACAATGATGAAAAAGAAATATCAGCAGTCTCATTTAAAGTCATCGATACGTCCTTTTCAACAAATACAATGTATCTAATGGTGACTGACGTTTTTCATACTAATTATTATGCCATTATTTTCACGCTGGATTGTCGACGATATTTCCGTTATTTCCCGATTATGACAGAGAGCACAGTGCGGGTGTGACCGGTCGGCAAGGGATGCTCACTCCTCCAAGGCACCTGATCCCACATCTGATGTTTTAGAGGTCCGTGTTTGCCCTGCTCCAAAATTTGTATTATTTAATGGATTTATGAGTTTGAATACTGTACGTTATATGCCATGCATGTCGTATGGAAACTATTGTGTCATGATTTATTCTATTAATGTATCGTGATTGTGTCCTGTTTACATTGCGTAGGTAATGGTACGTTTAACCATGTAAACCGGATTCCATGTGTGAAATCAAAATAGACAAAAAACATATATCTTATGAATGAGATAAAGAAATTAGGGAGCTATCTTATCAAAATGAATTATTTAACAGGGGATTAATCTTATTAAAATTCACTATTTAACAAGGTTTTTCTTATAAGGTTTTCAATATTTCATCCTGAAGATTACTTTGCTGAATTTATAAATTACTCGAATTGATTTTCTTGTTCAATATTTAGATAAACGATCGATTTGCGTAAAGTAGCCCTAGGGTTTTATTCCAGCTGAAAATTCATTTGCATCGAACTAAAGTGTTAATAGTTCGTTTTGTGTAATCGTTGGGTAAAAATTAAAACGTAACAATACCCTTACACTTGACAACGAGAATATTCCTAGCTCTAGAGGCTGATACAAACCTTTGAAACAAAAAAAAAATAGCAAAAAATATATATTTTAAGTAGATATACCTTAAACGTTAAAAGTTTTGAAAAATGTCATTTCATTTTTTATTCAAAATTTTCAGAGAAAAAAAATCACAAAACTGAGGTTTTTTTAGTGTGTTCCTCCTCGCATTATGTTAAATCTGTTATGAAACACAGAAAAAATTTGAAATCTTTCAAACAAAATATCTAAGCGCCTTGTTCCCCCTTCAGTCCTTTCTCTCCGATGTCGCCCATCATTCCTTTAGCGTTTTGATCGCCTTTTGTCCCCTTCTCTCCCTTCTGTCCTTTAAGTGCTCCAGCATCCCCCTTGCTCCCGTTAGGTCCTTGAGCTCCCTGTCCTCCTGTTGTTCCCTGTTCTCCTTTACTTCCAGGTTCGCCTTTAGCTCCTTTGTTCGCGGACTCCCCTTTTTGACCTATATTACCCGGGTCACCTGCTGCTCCGGTGCCTCCAGCCTGTCCTGTGTCGCCCTTTTGACCTTTACTTCCGACTGTTCCTGTGTCCCCCGTGTTTCCTTTAATCCCTGTATCGCCCTGGTCTCCTTTATTTCCTTTATCGCCGTTAGCTCCAGCACTGCCTTGGGCCCCGGTGTCGCCTACAGTTCCTTGGTTTCCCTTTACTCCTTTCTGTCCGGCATCTCCAGGTTCACCCTTGAGGCTTAGACCTGCGGTAAAATTATCTTTTTATAATTCAATTCAATGTGCTTTACTAGTATTTATAGACATATTAATATACACATATAAACATATAATCTTTATTGGCAGTTGTAATAACTTTTATACAGAAAAAAAAATCAGAGAAAAGGAAATTCTTCGTATTCTTCAAGGGTAATGGAAATAGGATTTCGTTTTGGAAATAAATACAAAGAAGTGACACGTTCCTATCCCATTTGATTAAACACTGATTATGGTTAAAATGAGCATTACCCTTCAGAAGAAAAGAAATTCAACCAAATAGGAAGCAGAAAAAATATTACATATCTACATTTATTTGTATTTTAAAAACTTCTTTGAAAGGATAATTGAATTAAAGAAAAGGATTTAAAAGGATTGTTGAATATTTTTATAATCCTTATTTTATAGTGATTATGATTTAACTTTATAATAATGTACAGAGTGAAGATAACAAACATTGATCGATCTAAAAATAATCTATAACTATACGGAAATGTAAAGAAACACGGAAATGTAGAGAGGCATAAAACACGGACCTCTGGAAACTCCCGAGGTTGGATCAGTCACTCAGGAGGTGCAAGCATCCCCTGTTTACAATTCACACTTGCTGTGAGTCTTATGTATTGACCATGGATATCGGACTTTCCTTAGTCAATTCCAATTCAGTATAAAAGTTGTCACAAAATATGAAATATATCGGCCAAAATACGACATCAACTTATCAATGAGCAGTATTCCTCGCTTTAAAAAGATATCGAACTCAGAGCAAGCTCTTGAGAATTAAGCGAATGTATTAGGAGACATAAACATCATAAGCATAGTGGAATAACCGATGAAAGAAGGTTTTTAATTGAATATTAACAAAGTTTTATAGTTATCTTTTATTCTTTGAATTTTAATTGATTACACATTCTGACTTTTTAACAACATATCATTCATTTTTATTTTCCCTTCACTCTGATTGAATAGACTAGACCGATTCGAAATTAAATTAAATATGCTACTTCTTTATTATTTTTCATATTGTTTTTTACATTACCTTTAAGTAAATTTAAGGCATCGACACTAATAACATCAAATTTCTTTTTCAAGAAATTATATTTCCTGATCTCCCAACTTCTGGCATAGTATCCAAGGATAGTTGGCAATCCACAGACAACCAGTGTTGCTACAAGCCAAGTCCTCATAGTGTAACACAGCTGAGGAAATAAAAAGGTGCAAGAAAGTTATAATGTACCATGCAAGCGTTGTTAATTTTTTGATGGTATTTGTTTTATTTTTTCTATTGTTAACTTAACAGCTGAAACCAGAATCATTGGAAAAATTGACCTCTCTCTCTCCCTCCCCCTCTCTCTCTCTCCCTCTCTCTATCTCTCTCTCTCTCTCCAAACTTACCTCTCATATGCTTACAAAGAAAATAAAAAATGATAGTAGATGAAGCCGACTTAAATGCTTAAGTTTGTAATAGAATTTATATTATAACATTAAACAAGTTATATAATAGTTAACTACAGTCATTCAGTATTAGAATAGACAGTGCGTGCAATGACTCTATGTCGGAACCTGTATTTCATCCAAAATCGAGGAGAAACAAGGATAGTGGCATCCTATATTCATGTACATATTAGTCATTAAGTGATCAATACGGAAACACGCTTCGTGATACACTGACGTTTGAGCTTATTTCTTAAGGATTTTGAAAGTGGAAATCTTAAAGTCATCGACATATGATTAATTTTAAAGATTTGTACATTATTTGGACTTATCGTTTTATTGGGTGTCAGGGTTTACAGTTACAGTTGCAGGGTCATGTGGACTTCAAACATTCAGCTTCAAAATGGGTGTAAGAGACATGGACTATTATTGAGATAATAAACAGTATTGAGGCTCTAAAGTTCTTCGAAGAATACAAATTTGCAGCAGAGAAGTCACGAACCTCAACATCATTAACAGTGGGATAAGGTGCAATGGAGAACGTACTTGTAAAATGTTTGAAACGTTAATTGTGTTTTATTGTTTTGCCAATGAAGAAAAAAATACTTCAAACATAAACTGTTCCTAGTGTATTGAATTTTATTTCATTTCCTCTTATTTCCTTTAGCAGTCATTTCATTGAAAAGGCTCTGAATATGGTTATCAGGATGATGCAAGAAATACAAATAATAAAGAATTCAATAAATAGGAGTACTAGTAGTGTGCCAATTTCACTTTACCCGATCTCTGCACTCGAGCTATTATGTTAATGCTCACTCCTCCATGGCACCTGATTTCATCTCTGATGTTTCGGAGGTCCGTGTTTGCTCTGCTCCCATTTTGTTTTGTTTAATGAACTTTTGAGCTTGAATACAGGTCGTTATCTCTATATATTTCATCTCTTAAAATTTCGGATACGTAATAAATATTTATCATATAATTACGATTTTTATTGTCAAGTGGTCTTTCAGAGAGAGAAGCAGTATAGTAAAATATTTGATATTAAATGAAATGTTTTCTAATTTTGATTCATTTTGCAAAATACATGTCAGCTTTGAAAACATTTGCTTTTCAAAGGAAATAAATTATATAATGTCATTTTGCATGTTAACTGATTTACATGACAAAACTTCGCATGTTAAGTCAACATACTATAATACATATAATGTCAAAATGCTATTACTAGAGTAAATTATATTGACATGGAAACTAAATTGGCTAATTATTAATTTAACATAAACACAGTGAAATATAAGGATCATTTTAAAGAAAAGATGTGTCGTACTTGGTTTTTCATATACAGTGGCGCCTCATTTATCTGGTTACTAGTCAATTTGTCCGGATATGTGAAGCGTCCGGATATCTGAATTACCATTTAAGCAAGATACAATGACATTAAAAAATTCTGTTCCAATTAAAATCGTCTGGATACTGAAGCATCCGGATATCTGAAAGTTCACTGTAATTCGAAAATTGCAATTTATTTATGCCAACATGCAAGGTAATTTTGCTAACACATTCCTAATAATTAATCATTTTGCTTCTTACATATGAATCTTAAAGAAGAAGGATCTTTAAAAATGTTTAAAATCTGTAGGGTGGATTGATTAAAAAAAAGCATGTTTGCAAAATAAAAAAATAAACCAGCCCCATTTTCCATTTTCCCTACTTCTAAAACTTAACTTTTAAAAGTCATTTCAAGAACACGAAAAAAATAAAATCCTTAAAATATAAAAATCATTAATGGGTCTTTTGATGGGCAACTACTTAACCTGCTGAAAGATCATGTCCACTTCTCAAATTCCCCAGTTCCGCTATTTGTGCCCTAATTTTAGTTTTGTTCATGTGTGTTTTAAACGAATGCTCTTTGTTATCTTAATGTATTTTCATTTGCTTAAGTTTACCAAATTACTTTATTTAATTGGAACTTAAAACTGCAAAACCTCAAGACGGTTTTATGATTTCAATTTACATTAAGATATTGTTTTAGTATACTATGACCCTAAACATACTGATATGCTAGTTAAATATATCTGCACACAGCTCAACTTAGACCTGCTAGTGTGCAACCTTAATTAGTTGATATACAAGGGTTGTCCAAAATTTCCGTAGACTGAGATCACATCTATCGCAGAAATCAACTTACATAATTTTATGAATTTGAAAAAAAAAATTGTTTACAGCAGATTATTTACAAAATTTTAAATACGATTATTTCATAAAGGTACGAAAAATGATTTTAATGTTACTGTATTCTTTCTCCGACGCAATTTCCGATGTGAATATGTACGCAAAATTTTCCCTTACTGAATTAATGCACTAATTATCAGAAAACAATTTCGACTTTAAAAAGATGTTATAAATATAAAATATGATAAACGTATGACATAATACACATTAAAATATACCCAAAAAAGTTTAAAATACATCAATAGTCTCGTTTAAAGTCATCATTTTGTAACTTCATTGGTCAATACAATGACCAAGTGACCAAATACGTCAAATGATGTGTTATGTTTTTTATACTAATTTTTTATTTACTAACTGAATCGTCGATGGACTTTTCCATTATTCCGAAAACATGGACAAGGAGCACACGGCGGGTGTGACCGGTCAGCAGGGGATGCTCACTCCTCCATGGCACTTAATCCCACCTCTCATGTTTTGAAGGTCCGTCTTTGTTCTGTTCCTATTTTGAATTGTTTAATGGGCGTTTGAGCTTGAATACTGTTTGTTATTTCATTATATTCCATGCATCATTAATAATTCATAAACGTTTCTTGTATCTCTGTAGGATTTTGTCCATAATTCAAAGTTCCTTATTATGTAGTAATATCCAGCTTTCACCTGTATTTGGAGTTTACATCTCCCATCGAATTCAATATTCAAGAACAGGTTCCAAGTACGTTCAGGTTTAAAACTGAGGCAAGGTACTTACAGATAAGTTGATGCTACAAGGATTTCAACAATCTCTTTTAAAGTCAGCATTTCGTCAATTCTATGGTCACTTTCATGAGCAGCGGTGACTATTCATCCGGGAACCTTAATCATCCAAGGCACCTGATTCCACATCTGACATTTCCAATGATTTGTGTTTTATACCATCCTGAGATGCATTGTATAGATTTTTGGAGATTGATCACTGTAGTTAATCTTCACCTTTAACGTAACACAAAATATATATTTTTGGAAACTTGTATATTGGTAATGAAGTTGCGTGTTGATATATTGATACTGCTTGCTGGATTCATCGGTAGTTTAGGATAGAAGCGTGTTCCAAATTGTATACACTATTTTGTTGTTGTTTTTTCCACAATAAATTTATTTTTATATTTAAATTAATTTCTTTCCTTTTTTAAGACAAAAATGCAAAAACCATCTAGGTTAATCATATCTGTATAGTTTCATTTATTTTTTTTTAATGTATCGTCATGATTATCTAACATAATTAACATTATGGATATTGTTCTCAACATTTATCTTATATTTTATCATTAATTTATGTTCAACTTTATACTATTTTATAAATGCTGGTCAATGTCGTAATAAGAAAAAGTAGACATGTTAACATTGCATTTCACGGGTCTTCCACCAAGAGGAAAAGCATGTATCAATAGAATAATACACTATGTATAAATATGAGCAATATGGCTGAGTCTTAAGCATTATTGAAAAACAATATCTTCCTTTGAATAACTTAATAAATGAAAATACCACTAAGAAACCCTTGAAAAATACATTTCTTTGGTTTTCTCTCTTTTCCTATAGAAATCGACCAAAAATACCCAGGAAGAATACGTCTCTTTTTACTTTTCCTTGTTTTCCTACAGAAACTGATCAGGAAAATAACAAGGAAAGAAACAAATATGTGTTTTCTTCCTCGTTAGCACGTTCACTTTTATACTTTTCAAGACCAGTGAATGTCGTCATAGATTTAATCCAATCACTAATGTTAAATTCTACTGACGGTTGAAAACAGATATTGTACAGATCGAAAGGGTGAATAAAGTTTAACCGAAACACAACTTTTGGACAGTTCTGTATCTTTTCCCCCAACAACTGATCTGAACAGTGGTATGTGAAGCAGACTATAATGTTTATCGCTCGTATATAATGCGGCATGAGTCACGAATTCCTGATAACAAAGGTATTAAGTTAACGTCCGCAATCCCTGATCGATTGCTGGTAACATTTAAAGCAGACGAATTCTTTTTGCCCTCTCTTTAGTAATGTTTTTTTTTCGAAGCCATAATTGTGTGCGCAATAGCTGTGGGTATTTAATCAAACAAGTTTTTATTTATTGTTAATCTTCATCAGTCGTTGAATATTAGCATGTTCTAAAGCACGATTGCAGGAAACGGAAATATCTTTAACATTTGCAATGGGTTTGGTTTCATTAAGTAAACTAAAAGGAACACAACTCTTTAACACATACATGACGCTTTGGAATCGTCAAAATTAATCCGTGATCCTACAATACACTGACTAGAGATCATACACAGTGTATAGCCCTAGGGAAAAAAATTTGATACCTTTCAAATGGGATTCAATATACTTTGTACAGTTCTGTATATCAATTTCGGACTGAAATATAAATTGTCGATTTGATAAAATAAAAAATAAAAGTTTTGTCATCAAATGTTTTGGATTTCCTTAAAGAAAAAAAATAACTAGATCATGTCTGCCATTAAGAGATTTATTTTATTTCTGTACTATTCTATTTATGGTTT